TCTTGATCACTTTTGATTGATTCTCTTGCTTCTAATATTTGCTTTTCAGACAAGGTTTCGGGCCTTTTCCCAAAATCGTTATTACGAAACGTGATGAAAAGTGGCTTAAGTTTGGGGGGCAAAAAAAAAAGCTTCATTTACTCTGTTTTCCATGCTTTACATCACACACGTTCAGCAAAGTCTACAAACAGCTTCTGTTTTCAGTTGATTTGCTGTTTGTTGCTCATTTTGGCCGTCGAGAAACAGAGTTTGGCGGGAGAAACAGAAACTGAATGAGAGTGAATTTTCCCACTGGGTGGATTTTTTTTTTGTAAACTTCAAATGGCGCTCAATAAAGAGCTCTTCTGTGGGCTATCTCATCTTTGTTTTCTGGGGATATCACATCTCGCCGCCGCGCAACAGTGGCGAGGATGTGAAATATTAACAAATTCTGCGGCAGTGAATATCTGAGCGTTAGGCCACGGGTGCCATTATGCGGTGCGATTGCTCTAAAAATTATTCACACTTGTGCCAGTTTTCAGTGCTTGTCGCGGTCTCGCTAAATTGAATCATGAATGAATGACGATAGAGGCGAGATGAGAAAAGTATAAAAATTTCGACAAAAAAAAAGAGCGCAAAAAGACCAAAGCAAGTGACACGATGGGAATATGTAACACAGAGCGCGCGATGGTGAGGAAAAAAGGCACACAAACTTTGTACAGAGAGGAAAACTTACCAAATATCTTTTATATAACCTCTCTCGAGGTTTATCAATTGAAGTCGATTGTCGGCTGAATTGACGGCAAATCCATTGCTGCCCGTCTTTCGGCCCCTATGATTGCCTCGCGGTCAACTGCTTGGGGGCCATTTGCGCGCGGGGCTCTCGAGACGCCCTTGGCGGCCAACTGTGCGAGGGGGTGGCTCTTGAATGTGGGTGGCGACTCTTTGGAGCAACAACAAAACACACCTCAGACTACAATTAACTCTTTTTCTGACTTATTCATTCACACTCTGCAATTTTCCCCTTGTTTCATTGTTGGCTCTCCGCGTGTCTCTCTCGTCAGTAAAAATCCAATTCTTTGGTATTACTGGCACAGTTAAGTGAGCTGTGTGCTCCCTTCTCATGTGTTTCTCGTTCACGTTTGATTTACTAATCATGTGCACTCTTAAGAGATACTTTCATCAGCACTGAAGGTTACTAATTGATTAAAGTGTAGAAATAAATTGCAAACTCTCCTCCAACTGTCTTTCTTTCTCTCTCTCTCGTCTGTCTGTCGAAAATCTCTCTCAACTCATGTCTCATTAACACCCGGAGAAAACTATATTAAAAGGCGCCCGTCGATGAACAAAAAAAAATTACCGATCACATAATTTTTTCTCCTCCTTCTCAAAAAATATATATATAATATGTATGTTACAAATTTTGTGATTCGACTCTCTTTCACTTTGCGCTCAAGTGGCGAAAAAAAAACACAAAATTTAGCACACACACACTATTTTTTATTGCGCCTTTTTCTCCCCCAAAAGATTTTTTACTGTATAATATTCGTAAATTTAGGCTCTCGAGCACTCTGGAGGTGCAATTTCGGGCCGCGCAAACACTGACGGCGATGTGAGCTTGCCGATTGAGAGGCTGAGATTGCCCAATGCCGCCGAAAAAAACGGCCTGAAAGTTTGGGCGCCAAAGGCTCTGAAATTACTGGCCACTGTGTGGATTTACGGTCGCAGCGCGCGCAATTCGTCGACTGTGTGCCACCAGAGCAACTCCACGACTGGCTGGAGAGAACCGGCTCGGATTCCGTCACTGGCAGCGACTCGAGACTCTCGAGAGTCGGTGGCAAAACGGTTTTGGGGCCGTCATTCACTGCTGCGACGTTGAGGTTGAACATTTCGTGGAATGTTTCCATTCATTTCATAACACCTTTGCGAAGCTGCTCAATATTGAGCCGAAGCGAGGAGAATCGACGATTCTTTCATTTCCCTCTCTTGGACAGGATTTGGTGTTTCAGAGATGAAGATCAAGGGGAAAATAATTGTGGATTAATAAAAATTCCCCTTGCATTCCGCATTGATTAGAGTTGCGTGCAAATAAGGATAATTTAAATATTTGATTAAGAAAGAATAAATAAATTCCAAGGAGGATATATTATGGTCAGAAGTGGTGTAAAGACCAGATTTAGGAAGTGGAAATGAATATTTCTTCGCAATATTTGACTCACAGCATTTTTCTAGGTTATGTGACTGATTTGAAACGAAATAACATCCTAAAGTAGAATTTCTTGCTCCTAAATTGAAAGTATTTTCACTTTGTTAGTAGAATTTTGTATTTTAACTCAATGAAAATCAAGATTTTAGAAGCTAATGTTAAGAAAACAGTAATAGAGTTAAACATAACCTCAATTTTTCACTAAAAATTTGAAAATATTATCTAAAGTAAAGATTATGACCAAGAAAAACCACAAAATCTGGAATTTTACCTAAAGAAATCTTAAAATATTGTATGAAAACATGAATTTTTAAGTTGTCAGTTAGATTTCAGTTAGTTTTCTGTTGATTTTCAGGTAAATAAATGTAAAATTTAATACAAAATCACCGATTTTGATCTGTTTTATCGTATTATTTAAATAGTAATATTTAATTAAAGATCATTATAGATTTCTAGAATAGGTGAAAAAGTCAAATTTTTAAAATTCAAACACTAATTCGTTAAAAGCAACAAGATGACTTGAAATTGAAACTTTCAGACAACTCGCAAACCTTGTGCAGTGGTTGAGTTGGATTTCTGCTGCAAGCGCTGGCCGCCGGCGGAGCGAGGCGGGCGGCGGCCAGAGGCGACCGTCTGTGTTTCCGTCGGAGCGCGCTTTGGTCTTCGTGTCTGCAACCGGTGTTCATCGAGCGTGTGACGAAATAATGGCATAATATCAAAATATCTTACAATTAATTTGTCCGTGAGTCGCGCAGCCGAATTTCAATTGGCGTCCAGGGAGACTCGAATCGCCGCTCAAGAACGTGCCACGGAGACCAGAAAGACGTGCTCCTCGCTGGCGTCTGTCAATGCCGGCTGACCTCCAGCGCAAGCGTGGAGTACCTTGCATCATGCGCAATCGCTGCTTTACTATTTAATCGCCAGCGTGCATAATTGCCCACTTCTTGTCCGCTGCCGAAGACGGCGCAGAGCTTTGGATGGCTTGATTTTTTTCTTTTGTAGGTCAACACCAATTAGAGCGATGCAAGGGGCAGATAATATGGTCAGAAGAGGTGTACAACTCATGTGGAAGTACTTAAGAAAGTGGAAGTGTTCAAAAACATTCAGTATTCCTGTTCTAAGTGCTTCTTTTACTGCCAAATTATCCCGATTTTTTGGTTTCCTTTGATTTTTGACGTAGAAACGATAATTTACCTTTTTTAGGTTATGTAACTAGGGAAAATTTTGCTTTCTAGCACTGCAATTCTTACGCTCAAGTCGAAGATGTCGCTAGTTATTGGTAGAATAAAGTCATTTGCATGCCACAATCGTTGCAATTTTGAATTTTCAACATCAAGAAGCACTGCAAATTGCGATAAAGTCAAACATAACCTCAAAAGCGATCAATTAAACTTGAAAAATGTTGATTTAGAAACCTGTCTGGAGGATTTTTGAGTTCATTGGCATATCATAACGGATGATTTCCTGATCTAGGAAGCTTTTAAACGCAGTCTCTGAAGATCTTTTAGTGATATTTTGAGGTTATGGTTGGAAAATATACCCGAAAAGGCGTTTTTTAGTGAATTCTTGCAAGAATATCTTCTTACAAAAGTAAATTCAGACATTTGGAAGTGCTAGGAAGTGGTGTACAGACTTCAGTCATATCATCTTCCCCTTGGAGCGATGTACTCGACCAGAATCGACGCACAAACAACCGCCAATTATAGATAAAAAGTTTGACGCCATTTTCGACTATGAGAATTCATGAATTTCATGAAAATTAGGAGGGTTAGAAGTCAAGAGATCGAGAGACAAAGGAAAAGCTCTACGTGACGCTGAAAGTCTTTTGCACGGCGACGAAATGAAAACAATTGAGGTGAGATTTTTTAAATACCGTTCTTCTTGATATTTGTATTTACATCTCTTACAACTAGTTATTATTCACTTCAAAGTTCTTCATTTTTTTTTCTTTATTATAAATATTTTTTTCATTCTTTCTCATTGTCATCTTTTTTTTCTAATAAACACGTTTTATGTCCAGAGACATAAAATAAATTAGATTATTTATTTCTTCATTTATATAAAAATATTTCAACAAGAAATTGAGAAAATCAGGGGAGAAATAATTCTCAACAAACCTAATTAATATATATGCAAAAATTCTCATACTAAATGACCTTTTTTTTCTTCTTCTTCTCAAATATATTCTGTGTTTCACTTCAATAATAATGTTCTTTGTTTATTTATTTGACTATAATTTCTCTATTTAGTGTGTTTTTTTATTGGTATGCTTTTTTTTAATATAATTCAGAATTTCTGCTCTTTATTAACTTGCATTGGTTTATTTTTCGTCACTTTATCCTTAATTTTGTCTGTTTATAGTTAATGGTATTTAACGTTTCGTATATTGACGTGTGAACTCAGTGAAAGAACGACGTTAACAGGAAATTACAATATTGCATATTTCACTTTCCATGCTTGTGTTCTTCGCGAACTCCTTCCGAAATATAATAGGTCATCAGCTCTTCTTCCATGGATTATTCAATAGATTTTTTTTTAAATGTACGAAAGAAGATTTCCTCAGCTTTCATGGTAATAATTGTTGATATTAAATGTCAGTAATTCTACATAACTTTATGCTCTGTCATTTTCTCCTTTTTCCTCTTCTTTTTTTTATAATTGTTATACAATGTTAATTTTCGTTTTTTTTTTTAATTTATCAATTGCTTTGCCCTTTAGTATTTTTCCATTACAATATATGAATGAATTTATACCTTCGCCACGCTTTTTTCTCTTTGGGATTTACACACTTTTTCAATCTTCCTCCACAAATATATTTGTTTTTTCTTTTATAAATTACCCGAAAAAATTGCACATTTTCTACGTTATGGAAAGAAATTTTTTTTTGTGAAATGAAAAATTCCAACAATCAACAAGGGTTTTTGTGAAGTTAGAAAAAGTTTTCTCACTCAATTTTTCCTTTAAGTATAGTTTTTTTCATTTTGGGAGATTAATTATTCGTTCTCAACGAGTATTTTTTTACCTATTTAATTTTTTAAAACATTTTTCTTTATTCCTGTGCGTTAAATATTCTTTTTCTTCTTTTATTTGTTCACTAATAAATGGTTTGACCGTCCAAAATTGCGAAATAGTTGCTGTTTTTCCTCTTCTGCGCCCACAATTTGGCGAAAAACACACACAATAAATATAATTCATAATGCTTTTCCTTTTCCTCCTTAGAGTTTCATTGTGTTAAGTTATGGATTTTTGTTTCTTTTTTTTCTAATGGTTTAGAGTATATAGAGTGCACTATAATGTGAAGATATCTAAATAATTCTTCCAGCAATTTTTCCACGGGCTTTTTTTTCATGTAAAGTGCTTTGCTTGTTTCAATTTGAACTTCAATAATTCGTTTTTATTGTTTGTTTTTTTTCTGTATTTTCGCATCTTTCTTTGTATCGAATAACATATGTTTTTTTTCAGCAAAGTTGAAACCACAATTTGTTATAATGTATGACATTTTAAGTAGAATTACTTCATCCGCTATTAATGATTTTAACTTCTTCATCTTCAAGTATATTTTACCTAATTATAAATTCTTTAATTTGTGTGATGGTTTTTCCTTTCTTTCTCGTGATTAAATGATTTTTCCTATTACGCTGTATTTTTTTTTCTTAATCTTCAGAGAGGAACGAAAAGTAATTTAATGGAAGAACGTAAGACTAAAAAAAATCCTTGCATTTCTCATTAATGGTGTTATTCTTATGTTCTTAAATTCTTGTAATTGGCTTCTTACCATCATTCTTACTTTATATATTCTTCTTGTAAATTTCTTCCTCAACTACTGCTCAGTTTATATAAGGGAGAATGCCATGATATAAATACTTTGACACTCTGGTTTTTTTTCTTGTGTTAATCATTTTCATATAATCGTAAACTTCTTGTCTTGTCTTCAATTAAAATCGGGTCAAAATTGATCCAATTTGTCCTCTGTTTGCTGAGGAGATTCGCCTAAATTTTGTTGTTTAATCAATGACAAGAGTTAAATAATTTAAATATTCTAATATTTTTTGTTTTACGCATAACAAGAAATATTTTCTTTCATTTTTTTTTGGTGTGAAATGAAAAAGTCTCCACGCAAAAAGTCTCACGCTTAATTAATAGTTTAAAAATGTTTTTTTTTTGGGTCTTTTAAATATGCTAAATATTCAAATGCAATATTTATATCGAATATTTTCTTCCTTCCTTTTTCAATGGAACTTCCTATGCTTTATTTCTTCCTTTCTTTTGCTTATCTCTGTTTTTTTTTTACTTAAATGTATAATTAGTACTCTTCATTTAAAATATATTTTTAACAGTTCATCGATTTTTTTTTTCTTCTTTATTATCTTAATCTTTATTATTACATTTTTTTTTATTTAAAATTTATGTTAACATTTCATTTTACTGGAATATCGCACTAACTACGTTCTTATTATTTTTTTTCTTGTTTTCCCATTTTCTCAAATCTTGACTTGTTTCCTTCTCACTGTGTTTTTTTTCTTCTTCTCTCGCTTTAATTCTTGACCATAACAAAAAGTGACACTCAACATTGTTAATTTCTTCGCTATTCTCGGGCTTTTTCTCCTTTTTATTCGTCAAATTAATATTGGGCATCAATTTCTCTGTTGCATTTTTATTACTTTATCACTTTTACGTATAATACTGCGATATTCGATCAGGTTAAATTTTGCAGATGGTTTCTGTGTTGTTTTATTTAGTTTACTTGGCTTTCTTTCATTCACTTCTTTCCATTGCGTCCTTTTTCTTCACCACTTTAATAATGCTTCATTGTAAACTTATGAGTGAAATATAGTTTCTTGTGTTCTTATTCAATTTCCACACTCTTCATCTAATTTTTTTTCTTCCTCATTTTTATCGAGATAAATATTATCAAGTAAATTTTTTTGTGAATTAAATAGAAAAAGAGTTGAAGCAAAAATTCAAAATGTTCATTTTTTTTTTTACTTTTTCACAATAAAACATTATGTTTTCTTTTTGTTTTTTCTTTTTAATTATTCTTAAATACAAGATAAAGCATATTCCTTTGTATAACTTTCTTCCACTCTTTAAATTCTATGTTTCACTTCTATTTATTGTCACTTTGTGGGTGACAAGAATAGTTACTTTAGAACAATTTTCTCTTTTCTTTTTTTCTTCTTTCTTTTACTCAATATAGAACATTTTAAATGTAATGTATAGTGTGTTGTGTTCTTTCTTTCTTAGTGGGTTTTTCTCTACAGTTTATTCACTATCATTTACATAACCTTCTTTTTGTCTACAATAAATGCAATTCATAAAAATATATTTGATTTATTAAAATATTCCCTAACAGTGTACAAGAAAAATAATAGGGACAAAAGTGTTAAAAATTAAATAATAAACTAGACAACAAAGATTGACTGAAAGATCTGTCAAATGTTTTAGGAATAAAATATTGTGATAAATTGTTTTAAAGAGTTCAAAAACACTCTCGAAATGGCAAGCAAATAAGAGAGAAAAAAATCCATGAGAAAATTCACAATTTCCCCACAGAATTCACGCTTTTCTTTCCTTCTTATTGCAAATTAACTCAAATAACTCAGTGAAAAAGAACTTCAACGGGTGAATCGAGAAGTACAAAAAGTCAAAATCGTCATTTGCCGAATTTGATAATAATTATTATTATTTAAATAAATTTTACTAGTATTTATTGTAAATTTTGACAGAAATATGGCAAAATTAATAGAAAGACTTAAAATATTGCTTTCCAAAGTCAATTTTTAATAGTCTTTGGGTACATTTTATTCAAAAAACGTTCTAAAAATCAACTTTTTATACTGAAAAAGTGGGTGAAAAAGTGGGAGACTTTAAGGGTAATTCTGATAATTTATAATTACTTTTCAAAGAGGCTTTTTATACGTTTCACTACAGTTTGAGACAATTTTCTTAAAAAAAAAATCTACGACATAAACAATGAATAGTCGACTTTTCAAAGTTTACATTGAATTGCCTTTTCACAGTTTTCGATTCACCCGTCGACTTGCAAATTGACAAAAATCCCACTGAATAGAGATTTGGGAAGAGCGAACTAATTGGGTTGGGATAAAATTTTGATTTTTAATACCTTTAGTGACCTGTTCGCAATGCCCTCAAATCTGTCGACTGAATATCGGTGTGTTCACTTGAGGTCAAACTCGTCGAGTCCGCAGTCGCACTCGTCGCATCCCTCGAGGCATTCAGGACACTCAAGTTCGCTGTCTTGTCAATAGAGCCAACCAACTGGAATCCACTGGGCAGTGGAATGTACCTTATCGATGGCATTCTCCAGTGCCGCTATTGTATCTCCAATATCATTGTTAACTATAGTTAAATCAAAGAAGTGCCCATACGCTTGACGCAGCATATCAGATTCTTTAGCTAGGCGCTCCAGGCTGCCGTCGTACTGTTTCCGTGATAAATCAGGGTCGCCGAGGGGGCGTGAAAGGAAGAAGAGAATTAGCACATTAGTGTCCATTCGAGGGGGCTCGTCACTGTCATACATCAGCTATGTTTTGTAGCGATGGTGCCGCAATGAAGACCACATAGGGTGTAAATTCAGCTGTGCGTAGAATTTTCAGTGCCTGAGGCTCAACATCCAAAATAGCCATTTTCCCTTCAGCATGAATACGACGAATTGTCTCCAGCTTTGTCCCATACATTGCATCCTCATGTGTGCCATACTCCAAATACTCATTCGCAGCGATATCCTGCATCATTTCGTCATGGGACACAAAATAATAGCTTCGGCCATTCTCCTCATCCGGCCGCGGTGGCCTCGTTGTATCTGTTTTTCGCCGCAGAGAAGAAGCCCCAGCGAAAGGGGTAGAAAGTGGAGAAAGAGTGAGAATTAGAGAAGAGGTGAAATCACAGAATTTTGCAATTAACCCAGTAAAAGCCCAGCTCTATTGAATTCACTCTATCGTCAGTCAGTAAGTTCACTGTTCGTGCTTTTTTTTTATCGCCCTTCCCTCGAGAACAGCAGTCCAATGGGAGGCTTTTCTGCAGCTTTTTGCAAAGCTAAATGCAGAAAATGTGTAGCACTTTTCTACATATACAAACCACTCTTGGGCATTTTATGATCGATATTTTCAACACTCGAGAGATTTCACGAAAGGCCTTTTGAACTCCTTTTGCATGCTCGTTTGCATTTTCTGTTGCATCAATTGAAACATTGGAGTGAAAATTAGTCAAAGCACTTCCTGCAGTTCAATCGCTCATCATCAACCAAAGGGAAAGTCACAAGGCGATTAAATATTTTATTATTGATTCATACTTTGTATTGGGGAAAATCAAATAATCAAAATTTAAATATTTTCAGGCAAAATATTTAATTAAAATACATTATATTGAAAAATTTTCAGGATATTTCATTAAAATTTTAATATTCGATTATTTTCTGCACATATCGTCGCCAGAGGGCAGCAAAATTAGCGTGAGGGACGCTAAAAATATCGCATTTTGTGCATAATTTTCTCTCTCTTCTCACGCATTTTCACACTTTGTGATTTCCTGGCGTAATCCTGGCCAGAAAAAAGGATACTTAAACACGAGAGTGAAATTTTCGCGTTATTGAATAATCATAAAATAATTGGTCTCAAATCGCAAGTGACTTTCCCCTTGTCAACAATACAAATTGTGCGATTAAAAATATTTATCTACCTTTAAAATAGGAAATTTTTGTTGTTTTAACTCAAAAAGGAGCTGAAATTTGCAACTATAGGGAAGAAAATTGATCAAAAAGTTCTTAAAATGGACATTTTTGAGGTTATGTTTAAACCTAGCATAGTTAGTAATTTAATTTTCATTTCAAAACGATACTTTCTCTATTTTAAGCTTAAAAATTACTGCTTTTCGAGGTTATTTGCCCACATAATTTCGCCTTATTCAGTCGCAAAGCCTATAAAAATATTTAATCTGGTTTTTCTTACCAAGATTATACAGAAAAATTCATAGAAATCTACTGATTTGGTGGAAAATTTGGTTTTCAAAAAAGGAAATATGTAAATACTTTACAATTTCTATTTCTTTGGATTTATTCATTAATTTATGCAAATAAACTGTTAATATCTTCCAATAAGGCGACGGTAAATTAATAAAAAAAAAAAACTTTCTGTCATCTTCTTCTCTTACACTTTGAGTTTCAGTCTTGAATAATTAAGACATTGCCAAGGACTTAATATATTGTTTCTCCGTCAGTCGCATGAATTGCAAGTTTTAACTTTGCGCCCAAAAGTTGCCCGGCAAAAGTCTGGCCAAACTTTCCACCCCCTTAATTATAATTAGCGTGGCGAGCATACTTTGGCACTTACGTGGTATAGGATACGCGTACTTGTCTGGATATTTTGCTATAAGTGTATTTTTGATATGACGACGTCCAACACCATGAGCGCCTAGGAGCACCAACGTTTTCCTCTGAAATGCGGGATCGCCAACTGCAGAGTGCAAGAAAAGGAGGGTAAATGAGTGGAATATTGATGGGGTTTTTGTGTGTAGAAACTTACGGGGTACTTTAACCACTTCTTCGTATGTGACCAAATCTAATTGATCGAACACAGCGTTGTGTTTTGCAAGATATTTGTCTCTGCACTGCTTCTTCTTCCGACCAAATATTGAGCAATTAACTGCAAGAGACAAGAGGACAAAAAGACCAAAATTCATTGCACTGCATCTGCATTTCCCATCTGCACGCCTTTTGTGAGTTTATATGTTTGTTTTAACAAATTTAGCAGAGGTGAAGTGAATATTTTTCTTTATACATTCTCAGCATGAGCAAAAATTGTCAAAAAACAGCACAAATCAGCAAGCATGAAAGCTACAAACTATCATTCTTGAAGAAGACGAAAAAAATGGGAGTGAAAACTCTTCCAAGATGCTTTAGAATAAAACAATATAATATATTCTTGATGTGTGAGAATTGTTGCGATTTTTCTTCACCCATCAGCGAGGATGACCTATTAAATTCACAACTCAATAATCCATTGTTTCCTTCAGTGTGAGGGCTTTTTTGCCCATTTGTCAGAGTGGTTTTCTCGCTGTGGAAAATGTATTCGCTTCTCAACCATGAACTGTGCGTCAAGATGAGGTTAATCGGATAAAGAAGGGAAGTGTTACTGAGCGAATGCATAATAAGACGGGATGAGGCAATTTAATCCAAAAACAGACCCTTAGAAATTCCATACATAATGTACAGAAATATACAGAAATAGATAAGAATGGTTTTGAAGCATGAATTTAATGTGTTTAAAGTACACAAATTTGTAGGGAAAATGTGTAATCAATAAAATTAAATAACATCCATCGAAGCAGGCGTTTAATTAATACAATTTACAACACAGAGAATTTGAAGAAAATGGGAGGAAAAGAATTTTCAATTACAACGAGAGATGCAAGATGGAAATTGCGGAAACTATTCAAGAATTCACATGCAAAACAACTTCTCACGATTAGCAAAGAGATGCAGGAATGAAATGAAGGAAATTCTTCTCGAGTAATTGTCAAACTTGTCAAATTAAGTCGCCAATCGATGGTTTTCTGTGTTACTTTCGCAAGTATTTTCAAAAGTATCTCTTTTTTGACAAGTGAATTTTGTGAGTGGAGCAGAAAGAAAAAGAAAAAAAAGAAGGAGGAAAACAACTCGGGGAGTAAAAGTACTTGAGAGAATAAAAATCATTCTATACAATTATATAATAAAAAGAGAGAGAGAGAATTTTCGATTTGTAAAAAGTATAAACTTCGATATCGACACGCTTTTCATTGTCCAAAGTATGACAACCAAGGAAAAAGTCATTGATAAAATTTGAGATCATTACAAAAGGCCTTCGTGTTATACCTGTCGATCCATCACATCCTTCGGCATGTGCTGAACACCCAGGACCAGATTCTCCTGATTAGTCATTGTTTTCATCCGCCACACAACACACAAAACGGTAAAGAAACACATGTCAACACTTATAAGGAAATCATAAATTAATCAAAAAGGCAACATCACAAATTATAGGAGAAATTCTCTATAAAATCCTTTCATTCAATTGTCAGGCTTTTGCATCCTTCTGCCGTTGAGTTGTTCATTAATTCTCCACAATTTCATATCCACTTTCAGCCCCGCAAGGAAGCATTTGCAGAATATTTGCCAGATTGATGGGAAAATGTGGTTTTCAACGTATATATTGTAACATGTCTGAAAAACTCTCTCAACCACACTCAACATGTCTTAAAGTCCTGCCAAACCGAATTCTCTCTGTGTAATATTTCCCTATACAATCCGGTGTGTAATTGAGAAGTTATTGGAGTGTCAAATGCAAGGAACATCAAAGGCAATTCTATATATATGGTGAAATATACAGTCGAATTTCATACAGAAATTATTCGGAAGCGCAGCGGTTTTCGTGGTTTTCACAATATTACACCTGCAAATGGAGAAATTTCTCGCTCATCCCGCATCAAATGAGTGAATATTGATTAAAAGAGTCACCAATTCCAATTGGAAAGTACATCGAATGCCAGTGCCAACGAGACATTATCGACGGGTTAACAGAAAACTAAATGGAAAGTCAAAATCGTCATTTTCAAGAGAGAAAATTGAAAATTTAGTGTTAATATTGCGCCGAAACTTGCCAAATTTATCTCAAAATCCCTAAAATACCGCCTAAAAATTGTATTCTGAATTTTTCACTTGATTTTATTGAAATTTGTTAACAGATTAAGTGAAAATATTAGTTTCCACAGCTGATTTTTAATCATTTTCCAGCACATTTTATCGAAATAACTTCTAAATGATCAAATTTCTTAACAGTTTTTAAGTGGAAAAGAATGAACAAATATGAAAAAATCATATTTATTTAAAATCGAAGAATATTTTAGGAAATCTCTATGGTTTGGAACAATTTTCTTTGAAAAAAAAGGACGTCGTTTACTATAAAAAGACATAAATTTATTTCCAGTCGTATTTTTAGATAAGTAATTTTTTTTCAGTTGTAGAACAAATCAAAAGCTTTCCAAAAATACAGAAAACGTAAACTATGAAAAATCGACTTTTCATAGTTTTCGATTAACCCGTCAAATTGGAAAGTGCATCAAATGCCATGATTTTCCACGTATTTCCAGTGCCAAGAGACATTATGGAGAACCACACGAAATAAATTTCACCATTTTCACTGTAATTTAATTATAAAACTATAATTGAAGTGCTGCAAATATTTAGAAAATTAATTTCTGAAAACATACAGATTGTCGAGGACTCTTTTTTGCCTTTCGCTTGGCTTTTGGGGTGAAATAAAAACCATTGCAATAAATTTTCCGATATAAAATTTAATTAATTAATCGTCCTCCATTTTGCCAAATAGAATCACAAAATATTTTCAAGCGAATTAATTATTTTATGCAATGCAGAGAATGTTGATAAATTTCACTCCTAAATATTCACACATTCTCATTCAGCATAGGCGAAAAAGGGATGAGCATTTTTGTGATATAAATTAAATGAATTTTGCATATTTTCTCTACACTTTTCGCCTTTTTTTACTAGGCGATGAAAATTCCACAAATGTATATTAAAAAAAAACATTATGTGTGAATTTTTATATATATTTTGTGTTTTTGCATTCGAAATGCTAATTTTTCAGGTCGAAATTAGTGTTTTTTGTGTGTTTTTTTTTCATTCATGGTTAATTGAAATGAAATGTGTAGCAAAAGCAGACGAATTTGTCGTTGAATTGTGAACTGCAGCACTTTTTTGATTTGCACCCTCTGCATATCCATGACTTTATTCATACACTGACCCATTCATTGTCGTATTCCTGACACATTTACATCCCTTTTATGCTGTGCCAAGCAGAGCTTTTCGGACAACACAAAAAAGTGGGTAATAGAGCTGTTTTCATACGCGCTACAACAGCGAACGACTCGACTGAACTACCCTAAAACGCAATCTGAATATTTCATAGGCCCAAAAATGCCGTATATCACAAAGAGTGTTGTGAAAGGGTTGAATTTTACAATGGAGTTTGGAATATATATATATATTTTGTGAAATGATTCTCTAGACACAGAGTGAGGAAAAAAGACTGAAAGGTTGATAGACAGTTGATGAAAAATGCTCGTAAATTGAATTATTTCAACTCGTTCAACTTTTCTTTTTTTTTTGCTTCTTTTGCTTGTTTCAAAAACAATTCTTTCCAATCTTTTTTTTTTTGTACAGCACAATAGAAATTATATCCTGTAAATAAAATGTGGTAAAAGGAATTTTCTGTATATAAATTCACAGGAGAAAAGAAAGAAAGAAAAAATGTCACCAAATCAATATGATTAAAGAAAAAAACACAATCACACTCATAGCACAAAAAGTCACATGTACAAAGCTCAAATTTCACACAAAATGATGTCAAGAAGAGTAGAAATATATCGACGGGTGCCTCGAAAACTATCAAAAGTCAAAAAATCGCCATTTAGCGTTAATAAAGCTGCGAAATTTGGTAAATTTATTTTGAAATCGCTCAAAACGCATTCAAATCGTCCGTTAAAGTGCAAATATTGCTCTGTATTTTTTATTTTGTAAATATTTTGTAAATTTTTGGTTAAAATATGGCAAAATTAATGGAAAATTTGAAAATGTTACTTTCCAAAGTCGATTTTATTCAAACAAGTTCTAAAAAATCAATTTTTCATACTTTAATTGAACTTTTCTTTGATGTTTTCAATTGAAAAAAATTTAAAACATATGAGAAATATTCATTCAAAGTCTAAAAAACATTTTAGGATAATTCTGAACATCTATAATTATCTTATGAAAAGGCGTTTTATGCGTTTGACTGCAATTTTTAAGACATTTTTCTTGGAAAAATTGAACAGCGTGTAAACAATGAATATTGTACTTTTCACAGTTTTCGATTCACTTGTCGATGTGGGAAATATGTATGAGGAAATGCCATTCACAGTCGATAGACACGGTTTAACTAAACGATTTTTTCTCTTCCTTGCTGTTTCTTTGGGGGGGGGCGGGAAAATGGGCGGGGATTTGCAGGATTGTGGGGTGAATGAACTTGCCTTGTTCCTGTTTAGTTTTGTCCACAGCCTGACAAGCAATTCGCCACTCCTGAAGCTCTGGAGACGGAATCAGACCGGCCGAGCCGCCGGCCGCATCATGTCGCGCCTGCCACCAGTGATGATCATCCTTGCTGATTATCTGCAACGCAGAGATAGAGAGAGAGAGATGCCAAAAGGTGTTCCATTGCAGCCTCTGGGCGACTAATCACTTGGAGTGATTGATAAATCAGAGCGATTAATTTCCCAGAGGCGTTTGCAAATTTCAGGACATCCACTCACTTGCAATATGTCACCAGTGCGGAATGCTATTCCGGCCTGAGCACAAGGAATCAACTCATCATCCAATGGATCATAGTCGAACTGGGCACGTACGAATATCTGCAGGGGGAGAGAATATGAAATAGGATTACGGATAATCATGAATAATTACTGTACGACTGAGCAAGGATAACATCTCGCACGCGAATCATATTCACTCCTCGCAAATGCCTTTTCCCCTTCTTGAGCGCCAAAAGGAGGAGGAAAGTTTAAATGTCTAAAATAGCATGGATAAAAGTTCAACTGTTGACCTTTTTCCAGTTGAAGTTTCGTAAACATGATAACTAAAGTCATAAATCAGGAGCTTTTATTCATGCTTCAGGAGCTTTTAGAGGCAATTCAGTGCAACATATATACCTACAAATCCTGAAATACACACTAGAAAAAGAAAATCTGAAGAGAATTGATGGACACTTTTGGACTCAAACCAAGAGAGATTTCACATCGCTTATTCATTAAGCTTTTCACACTTTGATTTTTAGATTCTTCTCTTGGCCAAAATCACTAAAAAAATATATATATATCTCAAGTGCACAATTGCTACAGATGCTATGTATTTATCAATGATTCAGTGACGATGGGAGGTTAATAAAATATTTGTGTGTAAATATGTTTTACGTGCCATTTTCAAAAATTACTCATTTACCCACTAATTACGGAAAACGGGTTAATTATGCTCTGAAATTCACATCAGATTATATGTTATATGCTTAAATACATAGTGAAATACTTCCAAATATTTAGTGAAGATAAATAACAATCAAATAAGATTAAAAAATACATGAAAACAACACTATTTTATCATTTGTTGGCATCAGTTAATGAGTAGACAATATATAATCTGTGAAATATTAAAGGACATTTTAGTTTCCTTTTTGTGCAAATTTTACCGTGAATTAAACTATATATTACACCCAGGAAATTGTCTTCTTTTCCCCTTTATAAATATTTAAGTAAAAGTTGAGGAATAAATTTACATGAGTGAACCCATAAACGTCTCACGAACTATAAAGTGTAACTTTTCATTCACAATTTCACTGGCGTCTCTTTCGCACTCATTTTTCCACCGCCATTCATTAACAATGCACCAAGTGGAATTCGTAAACACTCTGTGCAATTGTTGCCTCATCGTCATATACATGTTTGTCATGCTTATGCTGAGGTGGAAAACGTACACAGGCGGCGACAGTGCTCTGTTGGCCTGTGTTTGGGACGTTCATTTGCATTTAAGGTGTAATTTCGAGGTGGATTCTCGCATTGGAGATTTACGTATGTAAATACAGCATTAGTGCCTTAAATCCCTCTCTGTTCTTCTGTTAATTCTACTCAATGTCTTGGCAAAATGTACCTGACTTTGGGCAACATTTTATGCCCTCAAAATTACAATAAACATATATTTTGCACCCATGAAATTGTGTACATATCATTCAAAAGAAAAATTGGACAAAAGGACCTTTGTAAAACCAATGAAATACTTACAAGAACTGGTGCCGGTCTAATCCTGAATAGCTGTGTTTCAGCATAGGGAAGCAAAAATAGAAAATCAAATGAGTATTTTTTAGTCCGCAGCGCAAAAAGGTGCAAAATTATTGTAAAACAGCCTTTTTGCTAAAAATTTTTCCCATGGGAAATTCTCTTTTACCATGCAGAGGAAACTTTTTGCTCAAATTCGCAAAGTTACGACTAAAGTTTTCGTCGGGAAAAGTCAAGTGAAATGCAATTGGACAGTTTGAGGGAAGAATTTTCTCTTTCTCTTCAATTGCATATCGTGCAATTATTTTTATTTATCTTCCTTTTCACTTTAGTGACAAAAGAGTGTGCTGGAAGCTTGGCTGGAAGTTAGAGTGACGGAAACTTTTACCATACATATGCTGTTGAGGGTGTGATGATTGTCAGACGAAAAGTTTTAGCGCCATAAACAATAATAGCCTCGTAAGTGCGGATTCGCTCTCTTCTTAAACTCAGCACAACACATAATTCAGGGACAATTTGTAAAAGTTGCTCTGCACACCGAAAAGGAGACAACTCAGAGTCCCAAAACATCCAGGTTTTGCCCTTTTTTGAAACTACAGTGACTCCAAACTAAATAGAGCCACTCAAGACTCTCAATTCTGACAATTTCCACCAATCTTCCCTCATTATTGAGTAATTTCCATGTCGAGTTTGAAAACATTCGGCCTAATTCTTCATCCGTTTTTGATACTAAAACCGAACCTGTGCAAAAACGGCTCTGCAAATTGAGTAACATTTGAACTTTTTTCCTTTTCTGTATGTTTTATGTTCTTAATGTGATTTATATGTATCCAGGGTGTCTTCAGGATAATTATTCTGTCGATTTTCACTTACTATCTCGACTTTGGAACTATGTGATATAAGAATTTGATTAAATGGATATCAAGTTATTTTCCAACTACGCAAGAAAGGACATTTAACAAGAGAAATAATCAGAAGGATCTCTTATTCCAGAAAGAGAGTTTGGGGTGAAATTGACCGCGAAAAACCTTCGATTTCGCGAAAAAAGCATCACAAATAGCATCGCGAATAACTTTTTCAGCGAATTTTTCAGTTGTTTTAAGTAAATTCCATCATGTTTGCTTCTAAGGTCCACTAGGAATTGGCTTCTTAGGTCCCTCTAATCCTTTTTAATACCATGAGGAACAGGTTTTATGTCTCAGAGCCTTGGGTGGCTCTATTTAATTTGGAGTTTCTGTGTGTTTTCGATTCTCAATGCGATTTTTAATGAATCCGGAGAGTCTTCAGGATTAATTGTCCTGCCGATTTTCTTTTATAATCCCTCTGTGTTATAGAGTGTTTGATGACTTTGAAGGATCGTACGGAGTTTTTTCAGTGGCAAAACAAAGGACATTTAATCAAGGAAATAACCAGAAGGACCTCTTATCCCAGAAAGTGAGTTTGGAGTGAAATTTTCCACGAAAAAAGTGTCAAATCTGCTTCATTCTGCAGCAGATTTACAATTTCACACTGTCTTTTCAAGAGATTCTCAGCAACTTCTCACAACACTTCTTAGCGTATATGTGTTGAATGTTCAAAAGCCATCAACGTAATTAAATAATTTGCCACGAAATTGTCTATACTTAAACTAAATGAACATTGTTGCAAACATTTCACCATGTCTGCACATCATAGTGGAGTTATTTTTGTCAATATCATTTAGCGGAGTTCCTTTCGTGAACATAAATTTAGAGGAGAAGTTACTCGACGAAAAGTTATGCACAAACTTGTACATCAAAGTCACTTTTGTGTACGATTTTCGCCGAGGGAAACATTCTGCATTTTGCCATGGTCGCGCTATGAGTATACACCGTCTGGGGTTGTAAAACTTTTAACACACGTGCTAAGATTAATTCACGATGTAAATTGGGGTGTGTGAGACATCACAGAGGTGAGAAATGGTAATACAGCAAACATTTATACGGTTCAAGGGGGTGGAAATGTGAGACTGTATTCTAATGAGGTGACTTACCTCGCAAGGTGGCGGGGCACTTCTATATGAAGGAACTATCTTAAAGGTAACAGAGCCACGAGCATCGCGCTATAATGAGAAACAAGTACCGATGAGTTTATGAATAAAATCATGTTATATTCCGAATAAAATTATAAATTCAATATTCTACCATGAAAATATAATGGGAGAAAAATATAATGCAAATTACTTCACAATATTCTCCTTTCTGCTTTATTGCACGCTTTCGACCTGCACAGGGTGGCGCGAATCTACAACGAAGATGCTCTCAATCGTTGATTGAGGTAGAATTGCAAGAAATGCAGCCAAATACAATGCTTTTTATACATCTTTTCCGACCATAACCTCAAAATATCACTAAGAGATCTTCAAAAACTCAGTTAGAAACATTTCTAGATGACAAAAACATCTCTTTTCATTCACCAATGAACTCAAAATTGCCGATTAAGAGTAAAAAAAATAGTCCAAAAGGTTTTCTAATAATAATTTTTGAGGTTATGTTCGATCTTTACACATTTTGCATGTGTTTCTTGGCATCAAAGGTTCAGAAAAGCACAGTTTATTGTGTATAAATGCTTAAGTACTTGTGTATAAAACCAAAGTGCGAATTATGCCCATAATTCATTACATAACCTAATTTTTAACTAAGAAATCTTCAAAAGACTGCGTTTCGAAGCATTCTAGATCACAAAATGTTCTGATTCTGATCTGTCAGTCTCAAATTTGCTGATTCAGAGTCAAAATGATCCAAAAAGTTTTCTAAATGAACATTTTTCAAGTCCAAATGATTATTTTTGAGGTTATGTTCCAGTTAAGTACATTTTGCTGTGTTTCTTGGCATGAAAGGTGCAGAAAAGCACGTTTACAACATGAAAATGCTTCATTCATGACCAAATCAATCTGTGATTCGTTACATAACCTAAAAAAAATATTTTTGTATTAGATTCTGAGTGAAAATCGAAGGAAATCCAAAGAATTGGCATAATTTGCCAGTAATTTAAGCACTCAGTAAAGGAATATTGCTTGTACACCACTTCTGACTGTATTATCTTCCCCTTGGCTAAATCTTCTCCACTTATTCGCACCACCCTGTGTCGTCTCTTGCTCATGAATTCAAAACTCTTTCCACTCGAATTTTTCGTGTAATTTTATGTACAACACTGAGTTTTTTGCTATGTGAAACACACTGAATGGCTGGAAAGGCACTAATTGGTTGGGAAAAGGGACTTTTCTCGCGTCATTCCAACTCACCAACATTCTTTGCAGTTGACTAACTGTTTGATTCTGCACCGGCTGCCCATTGATCTCCCTGATCTCATCGCCAACGTGGAGAGTCGCCTGTCGATGTATCATTCCGCCATGCATAATGCGCGCCACAATGCATCGACCATCTTCTGTCATCTTCAGCGTTATACCCTGCAAGATCACATCGACTCAGAGTCAATAAACTCGCAAGATTGAAATATTCTCAAATTTGCCAATGAATTTTGGGGTGAAATTGCTCCACAAAAATATAGCTGAAAAATCTTGGCAACTGTCCAAAAACACTCTCATGTGCTTTGAAGAGGAGATTTTCGCCCATTTTCTAGCTGGAAAATCTCTCACCACGCCCAGAAAAGCGTGGAGAATTCAATGAAATTCATCTGCTAGAGGCATAATTGTTCACATTGAGCACCTAATCCGATAAAACTTTTGCAAAAGCAACTGCAAAAGTGTTTTTAATTTCATACAATATGTAGAGACTTAGAGAAAAGAGTCTTAACATGGTTAAAATCTAAATTCATCCTTTCATTTTGTCATTATTCCTATGAAATCTCTTAATGAACTTTGAAAGTATTAACCTAAGAAGAGAGGAAGAAGTGAGTTTTGCAGTGAGAATTCACCAAACTTGGCTAATAAATAATTGAGAGGCAGAGAATTTATAGACAATTCAAAAATCACCGCAACAAAATGGTAAAAAGATGACAATAAAAGTTTACATTTTTCAATTACAACTTTTCAGAAGTCCTTAAACTTCTCTTCTTCCGTTTGTTTTTCAGCCTCAGATATGGAGTTTTGCACGTTTGCCTGGGAAAAACAGAGGAAACATGGCGAAAACGTGAAAGTTCTCATCTTTTCCCCCATAATCATGTTGGGGAAAAAAAGGTGAAACGCGGAAGAATTTCTTCACTCGCACAGTTTTTCTCTGGCACAGCTCATATTATAGTATTTTTCTCCCCATTTATGTGCCATTCTAGCTTCTCCCCCTCATAATTATGTACAAATATTGATACTGCGCGCTGTGAGATGTTTACGTATGTATAATAAAAGGATCTTGCAATAGAGAGAGAGTAATTCCCCGAGTTATCTGCTAATCCCGCCGAGATGGACGCCATAAATAAGCCATTAATGGCGAACATAGTCATCCCATAGCGGAAATTATTTATCAAAATAGTATCTGATGGAGTCACTCACCATTGGTTCGTCGGTATTCTTCTGAAACTGGACCAGTCGAACGCGCGTCACATGCTGCAGGTCGCCATTATCCACATTATCGATATCATCGCCGTTGAGATAGGGAGCAATTGGGGGCGGTGTGACACGAAGAGCCTCTTCGCCGTATACTTCTCTTGCTACTACGTCATGAGTATGCAAAAGAGCCTGCAAAAGAGGGAGGAAAGGGGGATGTGAGCGCATAAAACCGAACCGTGTCAATTGGTGACATTGTAATGTGATGAAATTGCAACACTTAAATTTATCTCCAATGACAAATCATTGATTTTCCCCCGTTTTTCCGCTCAACATTGTTTAATATCCTTCGCTAAAGGGCAAATCACAAGGCGATTTTTAGGAAAACTTAATGTTCACTAACCAAATAATCAATTAATTGAGTAAAATAATCAAAAAATTATTAATTTCCCAGGAAAAATTGAAAAATGATCAAATTTTGAATACAATAATAAAAAAATGATAATTGTCTTAAGTAAGATTACAAAAATAATCAAAATAATAAAATTCTGAATTGAATAATAAGAAAAAAAAGATTTTTTCCCATAAAATGATTTAAAAAAAAGATTTTTCTCTTAAGTAAAGTTAAAAAAAAATCAAAATAATGAAATTCTGAATTGAATAAAAAAAAATGAATCAGAATATTTCGATTATTAACAATTATTCAATTATATTCAAATTTTGATCAAATATTCAGGAAATAATTTAAAAAAAAATCAGAATTTTGTATGAAGAATCCAAAATTTGAATTAAAATCACAAATAACAATAAAAATCGTTTGAATAATCACAAAGTTTATGATGTCAACTTGCGAGTTGCTTCGCTATCAGACAGTTTTTTGTGGTCATAATAAAATGTGCCAATAATAAATTTTACCAAGAAAGTGTTTTCTTTCTTTTGTTCGATAAAAACTTTCCTTGCAACTCTCGAGAGTTTTGTTTAATTTGCGTCAACAAACCAGCAGCAAATTCAAGCTGAAGAGCAGAAACACTTTGATTGCGAGAAAGAGTGTCATCTGCATTGAAAGCAACACTCGAAAAACCCACAATTCACCAGAAAGATGTTGTCACTTTCTGTTAGAATAATAAATCGTTTTCAATTTAGATTTATGTGTTGAGTTGTAGACAGAGATTAATCACCAATTGTGGTGGAAAACTCTTTCAATCCGCTCGAGAGTCATTTTCCACCGTATTGAAGAGCTCGCGCGCTTCTGCAGACGAAGGAAATGCACTCTGAGCACAAGAAAATGTATTTCACTTTTGAACACATAAATAAGAAAAACTCTTCGCTCTTTAGCGAGTAGTTTTTGGATAAATAAACACCGTAATTAAGCGCTATTATCCAAACTTTCATGCAATTTGTATTTAGATTGAAATACACTTCAACATCAATTATTTCAGCGATGCAAACGAGAATCTCTTTTGACTGAAGAAAATTGAGATTTGAAAGTGAAAATTCCTATTTAAATATGTATATCTCTTATGTATTCAGCTTTTATATATAATCGCAAAATTAATCTTCTTCCATATCAATAAACTTGAAAAGTTGAAGTGAAAACGGACAGTTTGGGATAATTAATCTTAGTTTGGATGCTCCACAGTGTTAAGTACCGACATCATCACAATTCTATAACATCGTCAGGATAAAGTTTCAGTCTCTCGAAAAGGCGCTGGTTGAGGAAGAGAAAGGAAGTTGGCGGAATATTTCCACACGAAACATTTTCACCCCAGACATATTTCAAATGGCTCCTGGGCAAATAATTATGACTTTATTCTCACTGTTCCAGCGATATAATTTTAATTATCTCCTCCCATTATGCTAAGGATATTTTTCTTTCATCTGTCTTAAGTTTAAGACGAACATTTTATATGTTATTAGAACCCATTTGGATATTAAACATCTATTAATTCCTTCGCAATGATTTGAAAATAAACTAAAGTCCAATTCTTGTTGAGCTTAGAGAAAACTTCTTAAATTTCCCTGTATTTGCAGGTCTTTTGAAAGAGAGCTTCAGTGCGTGAAAGGCAAAGGGTTGAAAAGGTACAACATTGGGGATGATTATAGGAAAGGATTAAATTTTACATTTTCGCATTTTACCCAACAATCAAGAATTCAAATGGAAAATTCACAGGGTAAATGCGAATGTTAAATTTTCATTTGCCAAGTCATTGTGACGATTTTCCTGGGCAATAGAAATTTGTAGACATTGCAAATTTCCACCCAAACTTTTGGTTCAGTTCAACAGAAATGAAGAAATCAAGTCTAAATCAAGGCGCCTTATGATGTAAATGTCTTCTGGACATTGCAAACTAATGATTTAATGTGATTTTCCGAGCCAGTTTTATGGTTAAAACACGGATTTAGAGCAAAGTTGGAAGTGACTTAACTCAATTTTCACTGTCTTTTTACGCACACTTCTCTGCAATTTGCAATATCTCGGCCCCGAATTAAGATATCGCTATGATCTCAACGCCATTTGAAAGATCATAAAATCCTGAACATTTTTTATCTTAAGGTAATTGTCGCTAAAATTAAAGAAAATGTCGAATTTTTAGCACCGAAAGGAAGATTGTTGTAAATTTCATAGAAATTCTAATCTCATTTTCACTACTGTATAATATGTATGTAGGTATATGTGTAATCGGGAAATTACATGTATATTTTATGATATTGCATGGACAGTATATTCATGAGAGCTTCTAGCTTGAATCCGAGCCAAAAGTCATTGAATCCTGTTCACTATGCAATGTGCTTGCAAATCACAACAATAGAGCATATTTTGTGATTTGTGCATGTGTAAGTTTGCATATAAATTGCAACGAGAACCGTAATTATATATATAGTATAGGATTATCCTGCAACGTTCGATTAATTTGACTATCTCTCTCTCTCTGTGTCTGTGTGAGAATCATTAAAACGCGGGAATATTGAAAGCGACACTAATTTATAGTGCACTATTTGAATTCCACAACATTAATCCCCAATTTATGCACAACCACCCACTTTAGGGACCTTTTCATGGGTATTTTAAACTTGAGAATTATCCAATGATTATCACTAATTGCTGGCAGAAGCGGTGAATGGAATAGGAGAGTTTGTAATCTACACGGAAAGCATGAAAAATGGGGTGAAACAGAATTTGCATAAGAGATTAATTTGATTGTCTTCTCACGATGAGAGGGACAAATTCATTTCTCTGTGTATAGAAAAAAACTGCTGGAAATCCTCTGTTTTCCTTGAGGTACAATTCAAAGTTCTCCAGCAGGAGTCGCACTAAATTACTCAACTCCGGCAGTTGTACATGGAGCTTTAAAGTTAATCACAGTTCAGCCCTTCTGCCTTTGGTGACACACCAAACACCCACAATTGCACTGCTGTAAGCCCCAAGAGTGGCTTCGGGACAATGGCTCACCGAGTTAATTAAACTTTAACTAAATAAAATCCCTCCATACACCACCAAATTGGAGCATTGTGTCTCGTGCACGAGAAAAGTTTCAAGCGTTTCGGCTCCAGAGATGGAGATTCGGAGCCTCTGACAAATTTTTAATCATGTTAATTTTTGGGCAACTTTTAAATTACCCCTAAACTACATTTAGACGGAATTGGCCCCGTCAGCCCTTTTGCGCCATAAAAGCTCTCACCACCTGTGGCAGGGTTTTACTGGCGAACCACTTGAGTGGCATTCCAGGGGAGGGTTGTAAATTTTGCAACGAGGAATCACACGCATCAAATTTTGATGTGTCGAAGGTGAAATGCGTCGAATGCTTTATGCCCTCGTTGATCATCAAAGAGATGCACAACACGCGGTGGGAATTTTCTCTATTCCCACCGCGTATTTACTCACTGTCGAATTATGCCTAACATCCTGTTCATCACACGGGATAATAATTCCATCTTGTGCAGCATTTATGTGCCCTCTTGGAAATTTATGAATTCCATCCGTACCCGAATAACAACCCTCAATTTCCTCCCGCCGAATGAACACGAAACAACGGCGAGTTTAGAATTTTAATACTACGCGTCAGACGCAATTTATCTGTACATGAATATCACTGAGAGAAATATCCCAAGGGGGAGGATAATGTGCCATAAATCTGTACACCACTTCCAAACACTTCCAAATTTGCCTGACACTTCTAGAGATTGAAGTTCTTAGACTGTTTTCACATATATTTCTTAACATTTCATGCGATATTTCTGTAAGAATCGACTTATAAACACAGTTTTAGGCATATTTTCCAACCATAACCTCAAAATATCACTAAGAGATCTTCAAAAACTTCATTTCGAAGCATTTTAGATCATAAAATGAATTCAAAACTGCTGATTCAGAGTTAAAATTGCCCAAAAGGTTTTTTAAATGAACATTTTTCAAGTCCAAATGACTATTTTTGAGGTTATGTGTCAGTATTGATTAAGAATTGATGGGCTAGAATGCGAATTAATCACTAAATCTATCCGTGATTCGTTACATAACCTAAAAAAAGATTTTTGTGATTGTTTCTGCGTGAAAATCGAAGGAAATCCAAAGAATCTGGAGGATTTGTCAGTAATTTAAGCACTCAGAAGTACTTCTAAAGTACTTCTGCTGAGCTGTACACCACTTCTGATTGTATTATCTCCCCCTTGAAACATCCTGGTGATATTTCGGGGCCATCAGAGTCCATAGATAGGTGAGCAATGTGCACAGAATATAAATCACCGTCATGTTAATTAATATAATATTCAAATGTCACACAAATCCACATGCCATCTCGGGACTCGTTAATTTTCAAGAAATTCACTCTCTCTCGTCTCACAGCGAACACAATTAATTCTCCGCAGTGATTAACATTTCAATTCTGGAGGAAGACGCAGTGTCTTGACAAAAGAATGGAGTTTCCTCTCACTTTCGCCGCAGCATTATGCAAAGGAGATATGGATTTTTGTGCTGACAAAGGATAATTTTCTCAATTACATCCTCCCTCTGGAGAGTTCGTCATACTTTGCAAGGCAGCCCAGGAAATTTCCAATGATATACACACACTGCAAAGGTTTCGCCTTTGGGCCATTTGATTGGATAGAAGGAGTGAAATGAGGTCAATGGAAAGCGTAGTCAGTGTGCAAAGTGGAGAACCGTGTCTCTTCTGTTTAAAATTGCCTTTTATATCTCC